ATTACTAAAAGAAAATAATATTTCAAGTGTTTTCACATTGTCTCTCTTTATTGTTAACTTTCACGTTATCGAGGAAGCCTATTTTGCGATCGAGAAAATTATTTTGCATTAATTTTGTAGAGGTAAAACGTAGTTTATTGCGCAGAAATCATCGTACGATAGCTTGGTGAAAAAATCCGTCATCAGAAATGGTAATGTAATGCGAAAATATATAATTACAAGGGTAATAAATATCGTCCCAGACTTCTTTCGACTGCATACGAAATAGCCATATCTCCGGGGATCTCGATTTAAATCTTTACGCTGCCCAATCGATCGTACAGTTACATTCGTTGTACTCGTTCTGAGTATTAATCGCAACAACTAGCAATCACGCAATCACTTGAAGCAGAAACAATTAAACGGGAGATGTTCTTTAAAGATAAGCAATCAAGGATGCAATTACGACTTGTTCGATTGTTATTTCGATAGTGGTGATATACAGAGCAGCTCTGTGACAGTTGTGATAGTAATTACAGGTGCGTACTGCATTTGAATAGCGAGTAAGCGATATATACCAATGATTACGGTCCTTTTTGAACCATTTATTTTTCTTGATACAAGTGATATCTTCGATTGAATGGTTTGAGATCGGTTAGCCACTTGTCGTTTGATTAATCCCCAGGAATCAAATCAGACATGTATGTGTGAAATATGTAGATTGAATCAATTTTCAGAAGAAATTTCGTTCGTGTTTTTGGTGAAAATGTTTCATTATATTAATAGCCTCGCGAAATAATTGCTTACGTGTTTTGAAATACAACGAATTAATATGAAATTAGGTATAGAAATAAGTATTAATTGCAACAATATACTGCAGAAATAAGGTACATGCACTATTCATTCGTTAGAGTTTCAAATTTTCTGCGCAATCGCGACCTCGATTGACAAGAAAATTAATATTACTCCGCTATAGCCTGTTTCGATTCTGTTCCTTGTTTTCAACCGTAACACTAGTTTAGTATTAGTAAATTACTATCCCCAATACTAGTTCATCACAATCGAAATATTATTCTTAAGTTTCGTTCGAGATAATGTTCAAACTTGGAATAAATTATTTGCACCAATTACATACAGTGAATAAATTTTCCCAATTCCTTCATACTTCGTAAAAACTATAGAACACGAAAAAGCGATTCAAATAAAATTCAGTCATTTACTATTAATCGTTCGCATTATTTTATAAAGCTTCGACAAAATTTTCTGTGCAGTCATGACCTCGATTGCCAAGAAAATTGATATTACTCAGCTATAGCCTGTTTCGATTCTGTTCCTCGTCTTCCACCGCAACCCTATGTCAGTATTAGTAAATTACTATCCTGAATACTAGTTTATCGCAAACGAAATATTATTCTCAAGCCTCGTGCGAGATAATATCCAAACTCGGAACAAATTATTCGCACCAATTACTTTTCGAATCTTCTCGTCGATAATGTATAAATTACTTCCTAATTTAAATCGCGTTGATTTAACTTCTCGCGATATCTCGTTCGATCAAGATTCGCAAGTTCGCGTAAGATCAGCGTGAACAGCAAACGAAGCTGGACACTTGTATACGCCATTCTGTAATTCGACTGTGAAACTAGGAGTGGGGAGGGAGGGTTATTTACATTATCGAGTTCAGCAAAGCGTCGCAAAGTTTTCTCGTTACCAACGATGATTATTTTCGCATTATCTGTAAGGAGAGGACGGAAACTAGGGGAAACTGGGACGCTCTCCGCGGAATGAACTTTTTGGCGTTCGCGGAACGAGAAAGAGAGAGAGAGAGAGAGGGAAAAAAAAGGAAGAAACGGAACGTCCGGTACATTTTAACTCTCGGTCACGAGACTGTTCCCCGAGTCGCGGCACGATACGGTTAAAGGCGAGGAAAATAATCGAAACAGACTATAAATTGGAAGATATAATTGGAGAAGATATCCCGGTCCCTTTTTATCGAATATCGAACTTATATATATACCTTTTGGGATCCTACTTTGCGCTGAAAGCGATACTGAATGATCGTTATCGATATTCTTTTGTTTCGACGAGAAATATTTCAGCAGTACTCGTTAAATAATGATTAAGTCGTTCTGTTCTCCGACAGTATAACCTTTGGCACTGGGAATTCTTGCGATAAAATTTCATTGTCGTAAATCAGATGTTCGTGAAATGTTTTTGCTCGAGGGGGGAGAAATAAAATGTATATATATGTGGAAAAAATATGTGAAACGGATAAGGTTACAAAGTATGATTTCTGTTCATGGTACCAACAGAAAAAAATTCGCCAGACACCGGTATTAATCAAATCGTTGATGTCTGAAACTGTCGGAGCACGGTGCAACGCAAACTTTGATCGTAATCGACATTTTTAATGCACGACACCGGTGTACCAGCGTTATCAACCATTTACGGATCTCGCTATAATTCATGAACGTTGGTGTTGGTAGTGTTTGAAAAACGACGGGAGCGATATTAAAAATCCCCGTGCTGTCGTACGATATACAGGTGAAAGTCTTCTGTAAACGCTTTGTCTTCGTTAAACGCTCGGCCTAAAACGATCATTAGTAGGATGCGGGAAATGGAACGTATCTCGTAGCTATAATGTTGCTGCATTATGTATAGAAAGTGTTTCAAAATCGATCTTCGATGAAAAGTTTATACGGAAAGACAATTGATAATATGTGAATTAGTTTAACTTTTGTTCGCGTTCAGATATTCCTCGTTTTGAGACCGATGCTTGAAATACTAGCAAGGTTCGTTCGAAAATCATTCGTCAATCAGTAATTTTGCATTTGAAGAAAATTGCGGTTGTTCTAATTTTTATTTTTCCACTGAAATATTTACGTTAAATTCGTCAATTCGTTTAACTTTCTGTCGTTGTTCTGAATTAGAGTAAAATTTAAGGTTTGGCGCGCCGTTCTGTACATTTCGAATTGAAATACAAGATTAGAAAATGATTCAGTCTGGAATAATTCATTCTAAATATCTATTTCCATTTAGGGTGTCCTCATAAAAAGAAGATCACTGATAGTGTGTTATTGATTATGTCACACCAAACATCACACGAAATAACGCATGAAAATGAGCTTATACAAGCTTTGGCATAATTTAAAAAAAATTGTTGCGCTGAAAACTATTGCAAATTGAAAAAATCTATACCATCCGTCGTATTATCTGTAAAAAGTAATTAAACTTTGTCCTCTTCTAGTTGTCTCACGAATCCATCACTCAGGAGAAAATCGCCGAAAACTGTATATTTTCCCTAATACATAAGTAACACCAACATTGGCGAACAAATGTAATTTAAATCATACAACACGTACCCACAACTCCTACGTTCGCAGTTCCCCCGATTGGCATTTTTCAGCCGTAATTGGCTAAGAACCGGACAAAGCCGCAGATCGTTGGAATCGCTCAAAGGTCGCGGGGAACAAAACGGTGCACAAAGCTCCCTATAAATCCTGCGCAGCCGTTTTTCACACAACTTGCCGAAACTGACTGGCTGCAGCGAGCGAGCGAGAAAGCGAGCTCGAGAGAAACAAAGAGTAAACGCTATATAGCCACGGTGGTAACACCCGTTGACGCAACGGCCAATGACTGCGGCCGATTTCACCAAAAGGGTAGGGTTGGCTTTTGAAAAATGACTGGCGGCTGCCGGAAAAACACTGAAGTCCGTTTTTGACGGTCCATTAGCACGCGCCCGCGGCTCGCACGGCCATTATACTCGCTACAGGCGAGGCAACGACGCCGGATATGATTGCAATTGCGCAAATAGTCAGAGCGGACGCGTCGGTATTGCAATTAGTCGGTTAACCACCCCTCAAATTCACCCCCCGTAGCCGGTGTTACGGCTCGCCATGGGCCCCCATAAGGGAGTCTGACTGTGGTCTAGCTTGCTGCAGGCTCTCTCGTACACAACGTCGAAGGAGAGACGTGGTGTCGAGTAGGCCAGGCTTGGGTAACGTTGAATGTAGCAGAACACGACCGCAGGTATCGGACTCTGCGGACCTTGCAATTAACAAAACAGATTACACTCAATCAACGAACACCTATATCTGCTCGGACGTCCGTGTGTCAGCACCGTTTCAACTGGCTTTCACTCG